TGCCCACCCCTACTACACCTCTCGATTCACAGATATGATTATCTCTTTTCTATTTTTATTGAGTTTGTAAAAAAAAAAAAATTTAAAAATGAATCGTTCAAAATCTCTTCTCCTGGACCTGCTGGATACAATCTTTCGCCGTCGAGTTTAATCTCTCTGCGGCGAAATCAATAAGGAATCTCCAGGTTTTTCACTTTAAAATCTTCTCTTTCTTTTGGATTCGGTGTTTCATTCTTCAAAAGTATGGTTTTTATCCCATTTTTGGGTTTTATCAGGAACATTTGCAATTTCCTGATTCGTTTTAACTATCTGGTATTGAATTAGGTGGGGATAAAAGAATGGGTTTGGTGGGAAAACCGGAGAAATTCTCTGCGGATTTTGTGATGGGAGGTGCTGCAGCCATTGTTGCGAAATCTGCAGCTGCTCCAATCGAAAGGGTGAAGCTTTTACTCCAGAATCAAGGGGAGATGATCAAGACAGGACATCTCACAAGACCTTACACTGGTTTGGGTAATTGCTTTCTCAGAATCTTCAGAGAAGAAGGTGTTTTGTCCTTTTGGAGAGGAAATCAAGCCAATGTCATTAGATACTTCCCTACACAGGTACAATTGCAGTTTATAGTACCTGAAATTCATTGTTATTTTGGCCATTTGATTAGACTTTAGAGTGAGTGGGGGTTTTGTGTTCTTATTGTCACTAAATTTAATTGCTCTTAGGCTTCCAACTTTGCATTTAAAGGTTACTTCAAGAACCTTCTTGGATGTTCGAAAGAGAAAGACGGTTACTTGAAATGGTTTGCGGGGAATGTAGCTTCGGGAAGCGCTGCTGGAGCGACTACTTCTTTGTTTCTCTACCATCTTGATTACGCACGGACCCGTTTAGGCACTGATGCAAAGGAATGTTCAGTTAATGGCAAGAGACAGTTTAAAGGGATGATTGATGTTTATCGTAAAACTTTGTCGAGTGACGGCATTAAAGGCCTTTACCGTGGATTTGGCGTGTCAATATTGGGAATCACTCTTTACCGAGGAATGTATTTTGGGTTGTACGACACCATCAAACCCATTGTTTTAGTCGGTTCCTTAGAGGTAATATCATCCATCTATGCTGTGTTATAGTTGCTTAATCTAGAGGAAACAATTGCTAAAAATGGTTCGTTGATTCTGTGACAGGGGAATTTCTTGGCTAGCTTTCTATTGGGTTGGAGCATTACTACCTCTGCAGGCGTCATTGCTTACCCTTTTGACACACTTAGAAGGAGAATGATGCTTACATCAGGACAACCTGTAAAATACCGGAACGCTATTCACGCCTTAAGAGAGATAATGAAATCGGAAGGGTTCTATGCGTTATATAGAGGAGTTACTGCAAACATGCTTCTTGGAGTAGCAGGAGCAGGAGTGCTTGCAGGATATGATCAGCTTCACCGGATTGCTTATAAGCATTGGGTTTAATAGTTTTGAACCAAAATCCGAAGCAATTGAAATGAAAACTCCGTTCAAGAAAGAAAGGTTAGTAAACACCAAGAAGTCTCACTTACAGTCCAATGTGTTGTTTTAATTAACAAAATCTCGGAATCATTAACCGATTAAAGCAGCAGAAGATAGGGAAAATTGTTGATACTTCTTGTGCAGATCCAAGAAAAGCCTGTTTGATTATCACACTTTGCTTTTTTATATTGGAGCAAGTTTGTTTCATCAGAGTTGATAAAAAAGGCGAAAACTTTAAAAGCTTTTTGTTGATACAAACACAAAAGAGGAAAATTTGTGGTGTTCTTAAGCGAGAAGCCAGAAATTTTTGTGGCGTTTGGTGGTGATTAAGTAACCACCGAGCTTGCGGTTCTTGGGCTTAACAGCTATGGTCATACAAGAAGCATTTTCGAGACAGTATTTGAGAACACCACTGTGTCCACGGCGCCTCTTCCAAGCCCATCTCTTCAATAGCCTCCATACCGGAGGTTTCTTCTCTTGTCCAACCACTAAAAGACTCACTTGTTGTTTCTTTGCTTCGTCAACTATCTTTGCTCCTTTTTCTTTGTCTTTTCCTTCTAGCCTCCTTATCTCCACTTCTATCTGCCATATATGCACAAATCCAAACCTCAACATTACAATGTCATTCTTTAAGAGTTGTCTGCGTTTGAAACGCTAACGTTGAGACAGAAACTTTTATTGTTTTAAACGCAGATTTTTGCGTTCGCGCTTATATTGTTTTTTGATATAGAACATTTTCAAACAGCAAACAATTGAGACTGAACTCACCCCGGGTCGTTTTGTTTGGCACAGTTTCTTCAAAGTATGGACTAATTCATCGGTTTTGACCTCTCGCTTTCGGTTCTTCCTTTTGTCTAAAACCCGATCCGAGAAAAACCTTAAGAAACTAAGCAAACCCTATACAAGAAAATGCAGAAGAGAGAAAGAGAAGAACCTTGTCTAAATGGTTTTGCGAAGTATAGCAAAAAAAGAGTGTCTTGTGATTGTAAAGTATGTGTAATAGCCCATTCTAAAGCTCCAGTAGAAGCAAGCGCTTTATCCACCACCACCATTACTCTGTTTCCGCCTTCCGCCTCCTCCTCAACCGCCTCAGCCGCTACTGCTGCCACCGCCTCTTTTATTCCTTCTCCGCCTCCATTCTTAAAGCTCTTGGCATCATCTTGTTCATT